AGGAAGGGCCTCTGGCTTCACATTTAAGAGCACCATCTAAGCAGCGCTCCGGATAGCCTGGCCTGGGCACATTTCACACACGCTGGCCAGTGCTGGCTTTCGCGCCCATCCCACCTCAAACTCTCTGTGAGGTCAGAGCCTCACAGCTGCAAAACCCTGCAAATTCAGGGAGGCACAGGAGGTGGCAGATTTCCTTCTTTGCTTGGGAACAGTCCTCAGAAGGAGGTGGGGGGATGTGAATGTCCTTTTAACTTCAGATGGGACAGTTTCCCCCATGGCATTAGGAATTACTGGAGAAACCAGGGTGTGAGGCCCATGGCACTGTCTTCTCCCTGGAGGGAAGCAAGATGGTGCCAGTTTGGTCCATGATAAATATGGATTGGTGGGGCCAGGGAGTGTTGCTTTCACAGCGGGAATCTCACTGGGTCAAAGCTGAACAAACTGTGAAATGACTTCATGTAAACATCTGCATTTGTAGTACATTATTCGGATGCTGGTTTAAAAGATGTTAAATCTGGTAAAATATTCTTAAAAATAAAAGCCTCAAGGCTTCACTTTAGTCCAAAATTGTGCAATTTTTCTAGCACATGGTGGGTGTCACAGAAGCAGCAAATGGCGCCAGCAAGTTATTACCTGATACAAAAAGTCTGGCGCTGTTACTCTGTCTGGTCTCACCGGTGTATCTGTGCCGCGTGATGCAGCGGTAGTTATACAATCCATCTTCATTCTGTACATCTTTAATATACAAGGCTCCCGTGGATGTGATGAGAAATCTAGATCCTGAAACACAGAGAAAGAATCGCTCGGTTAAAGTGGGGTGGAAGCAACCCAGGCACGTAGAAGACACACCGTGAGAATTTATTTTCTTCTGAAGAAAACTCTTTGCAAAGGCTGGAATCAGGTGTGTTAGTTAAGAATTCAATCCCCTTCCCTTTTCCTCCTGAAGCAGGAGGTTTTCACTAGTCTGTTCCGCAGGAAGCATATACCTAGCAAATGCAACTCACACATCTACCTGGTTTTGGGTCACGTCTTTATCTTACTGCAAGGAAGCTGGCATATTATTGGTGTGTAGCTAGTTTGGCAGATTTTCATGCAATGCCACCTACTTCTTAGAAGGCAATACATTAAATTAACTTTTTTTTTTTTTTTTTTTTTTTTGCAAATTTCTCTTTCATGACCAATACACTTTTGCCTGGATTTGAAGCATTGTTATAAAGGAACAAAAGTATTAGGCTATAAAACACTGAACTATTCCACAAATTTCCCAGGAAAGATTGAAAATAATAATAATAATGATGATGATGATAATGCAGAGATTGACTCTTCCTATATCAGCATTTTAGATGATTTTGCTATTTTTCAATAGCTGATTTTTAAAATGATACAATAGTGGATAAGACATATTTTCACCTTCTGAGCAGGTGACCCAACACACTCCAGCCAGAGCTAGCCCGTTAATGCCACTAAAGTAATTCCACGGCAAGGTACAGGTCTGTCAGCTTTGCTCTGCCAGCTGTGGGGCTGGTGAGAGAGAAACCAGGGCGCCTGCCCCCTGGTGCTGAGAGACACTCAGGGTAGGACTCCCATAGCCTCAGGTTCCCCAGCCACACTGAAGGGTGAGGGGTACACCGGGAAACGTCTTCTGCAGCTGAACCCGCTGCCTTTCTGAGCTTTCTAGACAACAGAGTCAAAGGCAGAGATGAAAGTAACAGCAGTTCTAGAAATCTATTCTGCTAAACTATGGGTCACTGAAGCACGAAGTCTCTACTCTAAGATCCGAGCTACAGAAGGCAGGTGTGTGTGACCTTCAGAAAGAGAGAGCCGGGGGCTGATGGTGGAAGGAAGGTGCTATGTTCTGCATAAAAGGGAGAACAGGCCCCAGAGACACACCTATTCTGAGCAGGCAGTGCCCTGGATCCAGGAATGTGAGATGGCACAAACCATTAACAACTACAAATAATTAACCTCATATGCTGAAGTATCCACAGTTGATTTATTTGCTCAGCCTCTTTGCTAATTTTCCCACGTCCATACACAGAACCTGAAGATCTTTCTGCGGTCCCAGGGAAGCAAGCTCACCTCCTTTGGAAGGGTACTCCAGAGGCAAGAAAGAAACACAGGCTTGGGAGTCCACTGAATCAGGACCGTCACACTTCCATCGTCACTTTACCCTGTGTGACCTCAGCTAAGTCATTCAAATCTCCACACTTTGGTTTGCTCATCTGGGAAACAGAGTCGAGGCAAAAACCCTCTTTGCTGTCCGGCGGCAGATGGGCTTAACACACCGGCGTCCTGTAGTGACTGTCGTGTAGTTGCTGCTCAGTAGGGTGACAATGGCCACTGATGGTAATGTACTGCATGGCTTATACTTCAAAATACTGAGGGTGCACCTTTCAGTGTCCTACCAGAGAGCGGGGTCAGGGGGATGATGGGCAGCTGCACTTGCTTCCATCTTTTCACACGGTACATACACAAAGACATACAAAGTTGACTCATTCCACCCCATAAATGCTGTTATAGTTTGAGATTGGATGTCCCCTCAAAGCCTCATGCGGTCATGGGGGTACAGGCTTTTTGGAAGTTTCTGGATCTAGAGTTTGTGATAGGTGCATTATCTAATGCTGAGATTGATGTGAAAGCTACACCCACCTGAGGGCAGGTGGCCTGCTTACTGTATAAGGGAGGCAAGGAGGTTTGCTCCTCCCCTTTGTGCTTGTGAATTTTGCTGTCTTCCACCACCATGAACCATTGCCCCTGTGCCCTGCCACCCTGCCTTGGAGCCAGCTGATGATCGACTGAAACCTCCACAAACTGTGAGTTAAATAAACCTTTCCTTCCTTCATTTGGGGTGATGGGTATTTTGCCTCAGCAAGGAAAGAAAAGTAAGACAAATATATACATTCATGATTGTCAACTGAAAATGTTAATAAAAATTAAATGGTATCTATACAAATAAAGGCATTTTTTTGTTGTTGTTGTTGTTTGTTTGTTTTTTGCTGTTTTGATGGGAAACAGATGAATCAACAGGTGACTGAGACTCCAGCCAGGATGTGGGTGTGTTGTCCCACACTATTTGTTAAATGGATGCTGGGTGGAGGAGTCTATTATTGCTTATATTCAAAGCATCTCTTCTCAGGCTTAGGTGAAAAGACAGCTAACATGTGCCTTTTACTATCCAACCTCCTCCTTTATACACAAATGCGCCCCTCTCCCCTCTGTATAATGACTGTTTAATGCTGTTACATGGAAACAAGCATTTGGAGAGTCTTATGTTAATGATTCCTTCGTTATTTCCTCTGGCTTTCGCTGCAGCGTTAGAGCAGATCATCCATGGTGACCGCACTGTTTTTAGCAAGAGTTTAAGAGTGTTCTTGGCCTATCCCTTAGGACTGTTTCTCAGCGTTTGTGTAGTCCTGTTATTGCCATCTGAACGGCACTAACAGTAATTAACAGCGCAGATGGTTGTGCTAATAAGGTGCTGAATGGCAGCATGATGCATCAGAACCGTCTGCAGCTGTGTAGCCGCCGGGCACCGGCAGCCCTACTGTGCAACAGGAGAAGTGTTCTCCAGAGTGGGCACTGGCACAGTGTCTGAAAACTGGAGAAACACGAGACTGACCCCTGAGTCCTAAGTACAGAGTGTCAGGAGTGAGAGGAGCCCAGACGCACACTTCACACTTTTTAGCTGGAAAGTTAAGTCAGCATGAACTAAAATAGAAGTAGAAACCAGAAAAAAATCTCTGATGGCTCTAAAGTTATCGGTGCCTCCTAATTCGGATGTGGGTTGGAAGGACCCTGACTCCTGGCTGGGTTCCCAGGCAGTGCTAGGCATGCCTAACTCCCGTGAAGATGATTCCTTGAAGAACTGAGTCCAAAGCGGCAACTAAGAGCAAGAAAGGAAAAACCCCAGGAGAAGCCGGCGCCTGACGGGGAAGGAACTTCAGAGAGTGGCTTTCCTGGAACAAGGGCCTTTGCAGATGGCCTGTTAGGATACCATTGGAGGACATGGCCCCTAATCCATTCCTGAACAGAATCTGGCTACAACTTGACCACACCCATGGAAATTAAAAATAAGATTTTATTTCCACATAGGAGATCCAGGAAGACGCACTAACAGGTTTGATAACATGTAATCTTGACCAGCAGTGGGTGAGATCCCCTCTTGGGAGTATAAGTTGGTGAGAATTAGGCACAGTTCAACCAGCTTGTGCTCTTCGCCTGGGATCTCCCCTGAAATATGCCCTGCAATATTATGTGAAAAGCTAGAAATTGTAATCCAACTGGAAGACCAACCAATGGGTGAGTAAATTAATGATTAGGGTACCTCCACATCCTGAGTCATTTAAAAGGTGGTCAGGGAGGCCTGAAATACTTTGCAAAAACCTGGAGTAATCATAGAACACGTGACGTTAGGTACCCAAGATAATGAGCATGCATATATTCATATGCCACATTTGCATATGCAAATGATGGACTGCAGCCCTTCAGGCACCCACAAAACTGTTTGCTAGAGCTTCTGACCTCAGGCGTGGATTGGGGACTGGAGGAGTCTGTCTGGCTTTGCACCATCATGCACAGGGATATCTTAGGTGAAGGCTATTGGTGTGCTCCATGTGTGGTTCTGGTTTATTTTGCGTAGGGAATGAGTGGGTGGAAGTCAGCTGTTTCTGGACCAGGAAGCACAGACCAGATCAGGAGAGAGGCTTCTACTCAGCTTGCTTTCTGGGCTGGTCACTTCTGGGCATGGCTGACCGCAGAAAGGAGACCTTCAACACCCACGGTGGGCTGTGCAGTCCTCTCCCTAATGCATCGCCATCACCAAACAATGGACTCCACTGTGGGCCCTTGCCTGCCCCGAAGCCCTGGCTTCTCACTGTCGCCCGGGGTGCGTGGACAGAGCTGTCCTCCAGTCGGCCTCCACTATCTTCTGTTTCTTTTCCACCTTGAGCAGAGCTCAATTCGATGACTGCTTGGATTGTGATCCCAAAATCTTATATTTTGATTTTTTCTCTAGCAGTAGGATCAGTGGATTCAGGCATCATAATGAGCCTCACCTGATCTTTGTCAGAAATGTTCTTCGTGTGACAACCACCAAGATAGCCTGGAAATTGTGAGATTTCGACGTGACGTGAATTATGAGCCCTTATCTTCTGGAAGAGACCATTTGGCCAGGGGTGAAGATGGCCCCACTGTCCCGAGTTCTGGGGCTTAAGGCAGAGACCAAGAATCCCAGGCGGGTCTGACACACAAGGAGTGATTGGGGATATAGATGTTTAAATTCCCTGAAAGCAATTTCGCGAAGACATTTTTCTTGTGTAAATAAAATTCTCTCAGTGAGCCTCTCCGCCAGTTAAATGAGGCTCAATTAGACGCTGCTAATTTAAGCCCGCATACTGCATTCCGCCTGTGTACCTAATTACCCCGTTTAGTTTGTTAATGATCAGATCCTTGCCTGCGTTGCTATCAGAGTGGGTCATTAATCTCCACTCTAGTTAGATGCCTATCTGCTTACAGGAATAAATCCTCAGAAAGATTATGATTTGATTTTTAAAGAAATCAAGGACTTTTTTTTTAAAGTACCAAGGCAACTAACTGGTAAAATGTAAGTTGTTTTTATTCCTTTATGTGATGAGTGAGTTTTGGGCACTGATTTCTCCAACAGACACTGCAGCTGTGAGGGGAGGAGAGACAGACACACCGTCATCTGTGGTCAGGCCCACAAAGAGACAGGAATATAGCAAAGATCAAGACACACAGAGAAGCAAAGGAGAGCAGGTGCTTCCACAGGATGGCGAAGGCCTGGCAGCTTCTGGTGAGCTCGAGGGGCGGGGCAGGAGCCACGCTGATTCTGGAGGTGTCTCTGCTGGGACTCAGCTGTGGCCGGCATGCAGGGGTGAGGTGAAAGCAGTGAGGGACAGGGGACCCCAGGTTTGGGGAGCAGCACTGTGTGGGTAAGGAGAGGTCCCTGCTGGAGGCCATGCGGTCAGCCCGGCTGGCACGAATGCACTGTTTTGGACTTGGGAGATGCAGACCGAGTAGGAGGAAGGTACCGCCTGTCTGCTGCCGGCGTCTGGCTAATAGTAAGTAGGGCTCTGTCGACTTCATTTCCTGCCCACAGGCTTCTGAGTTTGCCGCTGGAAGGGAAAGCATATTTCACACTGAGCCTCTCGTCCAGCTGTGGCTGTATAGTGCCAGGCTGACCAGAAGGGACACATGTCCAAAACAGGAAAAATCAGGACGGGAAGGAGGAGGGGAGGTGGCACCGGATCCATGGGGAGGAACTGGAGACCTGGGCCGGTGGGTAGGGCAGGGTCGCTGACTGCAGAGCTTGCCTGAGGCAGAGGGACTCTCCTCATGAGGACAGACTGGAGGAACGGGGACCACATAAGTCAAAGTGGAGCCTGCACCGTGGCCGCTGTTGGTGATGGGGCAGCAACCCATGGAGGGGCCAGGAAACCAATTCATGGATTATGATTTTAGTTTTCAAAAACAGCAGAGCATGCATCAAACAGCAGCAATCAGTGTCGGTGAAGGTTTCTGCTCAGTGCAGATGTGCATAAGTCACGTGTGTGCACGTATGCACACGTATGTATGCATGTACACATGCCTGAGGGGTCATGATGTTAAGTGTGATTTTCACCCTGATTTCTTACTGCAAGTCAGTGTAAATTATGTTGGAAGAGCCCTGCTCTGTCTCTTGGAATCACATCGTTTTTCCTTGACTGGGTTTCTAAGTCTAACCCCCCTTAACACATTAGCTGGTTTCTCTGGGCTTCTCAAAGTTTTCTCTTTACACAGTCAGGTTAGAAGTTGACCAGCCCAGTACAGGCCAGACCTGTGAGCTTCGCCAACAGCGGACCCTGCCCGAAACCTGAAGGGTGAGCTCTGGAGAGGACAAGAATGGGAGGACAAGAACTGTGCTGACCATGCCATCGCTGCAGGCTTCGAGGGGGGGAGCCGGGGGCTGGACCTGGGAGCTTCCACGAGGAGCACCAGGGCAGTGCACCCAGATCCAAAGGGAAGCAGGCCCTTCGGTCCATTTACAATACTGACCCACAAATGCCACTTCTCCCCACCTGGTAGGCATCTACTTCCTGTCTGAGAAGCCAGGCCTGTGCTTGACAGTTTATCTGAGGCTCACATGTTCTTACTTTATTTAATCTGAAGAGAAAACCCATGGGGATTCAGGCCATTTGAAAATTCCCTTCCTTCACAGGTGAGTCAGGCAGTGTCCTTCAAAAAAGATCGGACATGAGCCCAAGCCCTGTCCACTGTATGCTTTGAAGAGTGTGTCCAGAGCTCCTCAAAGCTCCCGCGGTGATGCCCCTACCGTGGTGCTGTGAATCCCCTGGCTGGGCTTAGCCAGTGTTGCCTCTCTGTTCATTCCCTGTATTTCTCTCCCCACATCTGCCTACTTAGCCGCTGCCTATATGTTCCATGCAGGACACAGCCATGCCTTCCCACTTCTGTCAGCAAACCTCCTCGGACAGCACACAGCACCCCACCCTGCAGCCTTCGGACATCGATGGCAGGCGACGGTTTTGTTTGTCCCCACCTTCAGTGCAATTCAGCATGTATTTAACAAAGGCAGGACATCCCTGCCTAACAGGAGGAGAGGCCCGTGTTTTGGGGTAATCCCCTCTCTTCCCAAGAAAGCACAAAAGGGTTTTCTCCCAGCTGCATTTCACTCAGTTTGATGTCTTCTGATAAATTCTTATAAATTCGATGTTTTCTGATAAATTATCCTCATGTCATGCTGAGAAAACCTCAACTTATCACTTGAGCAAAGGTACAATAAAGTCATCATAAACGTCTAGCACTCTAGCATCTTTCACTTTTTGATATTAAATTTTAATTAGAGAATAGCCTTTTAAGTAACTGATATTTTATGGAGAGAAATATCAAAATGAGGGCCATAGGAAAAAAAAGATAATGTTATAAAACAGTCATCTAACTTTTGAATACCATTTCTTTGTAGAAAATCCTGATGATATCTACCATATTCAGCAAATAGAAATTATATAAAATCAATACCAAACCTTCATGGTAGGGGCTATAGCATTACTACCATCCAGGTATATTTACTAAATTATTTGTTAAATTCCCCAAATCACATTTCTAACCCAGGGACTTGCACATGCTGGCTGTGTTATTAGTCAGCTTTTGCTTTGCTGAGATACCACGATGACACTCATGACTGCAAGAGGAGCAGCTTAACCTGCTCACAGGTTCAGCCCATGATCGGCCGCTCCAAGGCAGAAAACATCATGACAGAACGGCCTGGTTTAGCCAAGCTCCTGAGTTCATGGGAGCCCATAAAATAGAGTGGGAATGCATCAGGGAAGGGACCAGACATAGACCCCCAAGGCCATAGGTCCAGGAGCACCCAGACACACCCAGGAACATGCTTGCTAATCTCAGATGGACAAATCAGGACTTATGGTCACACTAGGTGAGCGCTGTCCCCCAGGCACATCCCCTGCCCCTCACACCATTTAACTGTATGACCCACACTGATGAATGTTGGCCACCTAATCAATGGCCAAAGTCCAGCGGAAGTCTGTCTGAGTCAGGGTAATGAAGAGTGACAGTGCAGACCCTGAACTTTTGAGAAGTTGTATCCTGGATGGATGAGCCCTCCCACACCACTCCTCACGGGTATCAGCCCATGCCTTGTGCCTGCCTTGTTTGTCACCCAAGGACGCAATGCACAGGAACACATAGCTCACATTTGATGGAAGAAAGAACTGGAGAGCAGAGCTGTGGTGAGGATGTGGGCGTGAGAGAGCAGGTGTAGGGGTCAGGGAAGGGGACCAATGAAAGCAAATATGTCACAGAAGGAGGACAGGTTGTGTGGCCAGAGCTCAAAAGAGGGTTTTTCCTCTTGGATGGTCACACAATCTTGGTAGTAAACCCAGCTGTTTCCTGGGCATCGTGGACTCTTCAGTGCCCCTTGGAGAGGAGCCAGGGAGATGACAGCAAAGTTTTTCAGTGGAGCTTTGCCCTGGAGTCCCCTGGGGGGATGCTGCCCAGTGTCTTGTGAATGACTGTTGGAGCCTCCCAGTGAGGGCTGAGCTGGGTCTCCACGTACAGCTACAAGCTCAATATTGTGTTCTTTTTGTTTTTTTCTGCATAGGAGGAAGGAACTGGGAGTGGATCAATCACTGCTGGACAGGAACATATTTTGATAGGGATCTATATGAGCCGAACCCAGAGATGACAATCTCGACTTTCACACTGACAGGCATGAACGGCAGATTTGCATGATTTGTGCTGGGCTTTGATGGGCTTACTGTGGGTGTAACTTGTTCTGTGCTTTGCCCTGGGCCTTCTCTTTTAGGATGGCATTTGCCACACACCCCTGGCTTTGCAACAAGGCACCAGGGCCTGGGTGGCTTCAACCAGGGAACAGTGATTTCCTAACACTGCAGGTCAGGAGCTACGAACCCAAACCACCAGCAGACCCGGGGAGCTCAAGAGCACTAGAGAAGGCACCTTCCGGGCCTCTTCTTGCCTCGGTAACCCTGGGTGTCCCTTGGCTTGTGGCAGCATCACACAATCTCCTAAGTCTCCCTCCCAGGGGCTGTGCTCTTCTGCATCTGTGTCAAAATGTCCCCCTCCAGCAAGGACACCAGACACTGGCGTCGGAGGGCCCACCCACCCCAGTGTGACTTCCTATGATCTAATCAATTCAATTTGCAATGACTCTGTTTCAGACGCAGTCTTCAGTGTGCGCTCCGGGATGTCCCGCTCCTCCAGGAGGATGAGATAGCATCTGTCGCACACGGCACCTCAGCACAGTCGTCCCCTAACTGTGTCATGAGGACAGAACTTTAAGAGGGAGAAAACTACCCAGAGGGCTTTGTTGGGTGGAGGATGGGTCTCTCCCCAAAGCACAGTTTTGTGCAGCAGTGAGCATCAAGAACAGCAACTCATGGTGGGGAAGCAGGCTGTGCATGGTCACTGCTTGCCTCTGCCTGTGCTGAGATCCCTGCCAGGTGCCCACAGGAGGCCACAGCCTCCCAGAGTGCTGGGAGTAAGCAGAGCTGTCTGTCTTACCTGTCCGGTCAGTGTCTGGAAGAAGCCAATTCCATACTTAAAAATCTGCAAGTATGCAAACATGTGATTCCACCATCTTGAGAGAGGCTGAATTTTATGCCTTTACCCGTGTCTCTGTGAGATAAATATGAACTACAGCCAAGAGTGCAGACCAGCATGAAGAGGAAAATCCTCGCTCAAATGATATGAAGTGGGTTAAACCTGAACTCTGCAGGGGTCTAAACGTTTCTTTCTCTGAGGGGAAGCACCCCACCTTGGTGCTCTCCCGGTTCTCTGTGCAGATTTCTCTGGGTGAATGTAGGAGCTGTCTATGTTGAGACCCAGGGCTGTGCCCTTAGAGCTGGCTTCCCTGGGCCCCTACAGGGCCCTGGCAGCAGGAGGCACCCCCATTCCATCCCGCAGACACTCGCCCCCAAGCTGTGTTTAGGGAGTGTTGCCCTGCTGCTCTGACTGGAAATCCCTAAGTGCCAAGCACTGAAGAACGGTTCTCTCCAGGATGTCATTTTGAGCATGGGATGTTGTGGGATCAGCAGAGACCAGGGCGTGGAAGGTGACTCTGGTCATCCTAGAACAGAAGACTTTGGACTGGATCCTTCTCTGTCCCCAGACTGAGCGTCTCTCCAGGAGGAGCAGCATGTAGAGAGCGGACACTGGCTGTGGGGAGCCAGCTGGGTTAACCCAGTGCCCAGACAGTCGCCTGTGTCGTTCATCTCCAGGCGCTGTCCGTTCCCGTGTCTCCAGTTATCCCACATCTGCTTTCTTCGCCCAGTGCAGTCTTAGCCCTCATAAACACTGCAAAAAAGGAATTCTTGGGGTTCCATCTGCAGTGTTTCCTGATCTGTTCATAGATCAAATCAGTCAGTGCCTGTACAGTATTTATATATTCTATTAATGCTCTAAAAGTGCTGATCATCCTAGCGTAGGAGAAAGAAGACTCGTGTTTAATACACATTGGGAAAATTCAAGTACCAGGGAAACAGCCAGATTACAGGGTTACCTCTAGGCTGATGCCTTCCCAATATGAAGCCAATTTCACAGCAATCACAAATCAAATTACCAAATGACAGTCTTGTGATGCATGAACTGACAACTGTCTTCTAAGAAAATACTTCAAAAAATCCAGAAAACAATAATCACATGACTTATTATAAGCACCCTGCACGGTCACAGCAGGGTGGAGCCAGAGCTCACCAGACTCCCAGGACAGGGACTGCGTTGCCACCCACACACAGGCAGGGCCTTCGGGTCCACGCCACCACACCTCTCCCCAGGGCCCGCTGAGCTCTGTAAGATGCCCAGGGAATGCTCCCTGATGCCCTCCATGGCTCCACTGCAGCAGACACAGCCTCCAGAGCAAGTACCCAGTCCTGGGAACGTGTTTCACCCAGTGTGACCCGGAGATACGTGGCACCGATGAAATGAAAAAGCAGATGTGACAGAGAGGACCAGAGGCCACTCTTTCAGAGGGAGCCCCTTAGATGGACCATGAGCTCGACTCTTGATAATGACAAAAACATTTTTAAGAATATCAGCATTCCTGAGAGATCATGAAACCCGCAACTCCTCCCACAACCTGATTGTTTAAAAAAACACGAGAGGACAACACACACACAGCTGATTGTCTGTCCTGGGCACCCTCCGGCTCTGCTGCCTTCGCCGATTGGAGACCACACAGCACTCGCCGCTCCAGAGATGCGGTCCCTGAACACTGGGGCACCGCAGCAGGGACCACGCAGGGTCTGTGGATAAAAAGATCAGAAGCTCCAAAGATGGCACAACCCGAGAGTCATCGCCGGTCTCAACCTCCTGCCACACGGCCATGGCGTCCTTCAGCCCCTCTCATCTCAGCCCTCAAAATCAAAGAATATAAGAAGCCATAGTTTCATCCCAGAGGGGGGCTTTTCTACACTTATTTCTGATTACAAACATAGGTGCCATGTGAAAAATCTGTAAAATAAACTACAAAGAATAAACTATGCAGCCCGGGTCATCCTGTTAGCACGGATGGACCGCTGACAAGGGTCCAGCCAGTCTACACCTGATCGCTGCAAGTATTTCTGTGTATTTCACGCTACCTGTGCTTCTGCAGAAAAGGAATAGTCACAAGTCCTGGGGAAAGTTTAAAATTAAAATTACGGTGGGTACAGATGATCTGGATTTCTGCAGGGTCCGCTGTGGTTTCACTCTTTTCTACTTGAAAGAATTCAAAAGGGTCAAACCATTTCTAATCCCATGGATTTGTCTTTTCTTTCCTTTTTCTTTTTTTGATAAGATTGGCTAAGAATTTCTTGATTTTATTTAATCTGTCAAAAAACCAACTCTTTGATTCATTGATAATTTGTGTTGTTTTCTTGGTCCAATGCATTGATTTCTGCTCTGATATTTATAATTTCCTCTCTCAGACAAGCTTTGGGTTTGGCCTGCTCTTCTTTTTCTAGAAGTTTAAGTTGACATTGAGTTGTTTATTTGTTCTGTTTTCCTGATATGCATATTCAATGCTATAAAGAGCTTCTGCCCAGCAAGAGAAACCACCAACAGAATGAAGAGAGACACACAATGTGGGAGAAAATGTTTGCCAGCTGTTCCTCAAATGATTACAATTGAGAACACATAATGAATTCAAAAGAATCAGACCTTCCAAATTTAAGGACCCAATCCAAAAATGGGCATCTAAGATGAACGCACACTTCTCAGATAAAAAAAAATACAAACAGCAAATAAATATGTGAAAAACTGTTCCGCATCACTGGTCATT